TCAATTGTCTCCCAGTTCTTTTCATTTGTATCTCAGGCTGGGTGCTTCTGGTCCGGTTCCCGGCTGGCTTGTCTCCCACTTCCTTGCATTTGTCTCCCATTTCCTTTTTATTTGTCTCCCACTTCTTTTCATTTGTCTCCCAGGCTGGGTGCTTGTAGTCGGGTTTCCGGCCGGCTTGTCTCCTTCCTTGCATTTGTCTTCCACTTTTTCCCCAAAAAGTTTACTGTTAGGGGTTCTCAATTCTTTCTTAAGATGTGTCCGCCCTTTGTGTCACTGCTGGTGTCCGCCCATTTCCACTGGCCATGTAGCATTTCTATATCCCCCTGGGAATAAACCCTATAGAATGAGGAGCTCGAGCCCCAAGACCAGGGGTCATTTTATAGGGGCCCAAGTGGCCACATTTTGCTATAGAATGAAAAACATGCACACACACATATAAGATCATATAAGTGATATGTTTGAGCTCTGAACATAGTTATGGAACATGTTTATATTTTATAGTGACTTTTGGTGGTCATGTTTTGAACCAGGCAAAGGCAGGTTTTAGATTTTATAGTGTTATGATTTTATAGTGAACATTATTTAGATGTCCATGTTTTCATTTTATAGACTTTGATGTTTGGTAGGGAATGCAACTCATAGAGGCATCATTGGCTTGTGTGAGTGTGTGTTTTCATTTTATAGAGATGTGAGATGATGTGAGCGTGTCTTGGTTGCTTCTGCAAAACATGGGCATTTTTGGCTGCGTGTAGTGGCAAGCTAGCCCACGAAGACCAGAAAAGTGAAAGCAGAACCAATCTTTCCTCATGAATCCTCATGAATCAAAGAAATGAACATCTGTCAACAATCATCAACAATCTCCAAGAGTAAAGATTTTGATCAGAATCAGCCAGAGATTTGGCCGATTCTATGCTTCTGGGCCATGCCAGCACCTCCAGATTGTCAGGTCATGTTTTTCATTTTATAGGACCTTCATTTTGTGACCCCCTTTAAAAGTACACTTAGATGGCCCACCCTGAGCCCCAGGTTTTATAGTATTTTCTGTGGGGTAGGCTTGTCCTATGAAGTCATTTTATAGTGGTGCACTGTGGTCACCAAGGGTGGGTTATGACTATAAAATGCCAGGCCCAACACCTACCTGTAGTTCCCACGGGGATATTTCTATTCATTTGTCTCCCAGGTCTGTCACTGCTGGTGTCCGTCCTTTTCCGCAGGCAATGCAGCATTTCTATTCATTTGTCTCCCAGGTCTGTCACTGCTGGTGTCCGCCCTTTTCCG